CTGGCGAGCAAGAAGGTTGCACTTGGCCGGGTTCAGCTTTAGTCCAGCCCCGCGGATGGCAGTCAGAACCTCTCGTAGGTTGGCCACGGCCTGTTCAAAGTCCTTAGCATGAGTCAGCAAGTCATCCAAATAGACCACACGGGGAATGTCTTTGAGGACCCTTTCCATTAACCTTTCGAACGTGGCTGGTGCATTGCATAGTCCAAAAGGCATCACCTTAAACTGCCACAGTCCTTGCCCTATGGTGAATGCAGTCTTGGGCCGCGCCTCGGCAGCGAGCTCCACCTGCCAGTACCCACTGCGGAGGTCTAGCGAGCTGAACCAACTGGACCCAGCGATGTAATCCAGTGCGTCATCGATGCGAGGTAACGGGTAAGAGTCCTTGCGGGTGACCGCGTTCAGATGCCTGTAGTCCACACAAGGGCGCCACCCCCCTGTTTTCTTCCGCACCATAACCATAGGTGCGGCCCATGGACTATCCGAGGGTTCAATGACGCCATTAGCTGCCATCTCTTTTATCAGTCCCTCGGCAGCTTGGCGTTTGGCGAGGGGCAGGCGGTGGGGCCGCAGCCGGATTGGAGCAGCTGCTCCAGTGTCTATAGTGTGTTGCACCAGGCCCGTCCTTGTGCAGTCCTCTTCCCTGGCGGCGAAAGTGTCCATAAACTCTGCCAAGAGGCTCTGCAACTGCTGCTGCTGTGTCGCACTGAGGTGCACCCCACTTCGCCGCCCAAGCTCCTCTACTGCCGCGACAGTCTCAGGTGACGGGGAGACTGCCGAGCTAGGCGGCGACTCTGGCTGCGGGATGTTGGCCCTGCTTACGTCCACCCCCTGGGTCCTCTTCCGCACCCTTGCCGCCCTCGGCCCCTGGCTGTGGCATGGAGCTGCGGGGCGTAAGGGCTTTGGGGGTGCTGGTGGCCCACTTGAAGCTGCACGGTCTCAGCACCAAGGTGGATGGCAACTCCCGGTACATCGACCCGTGCCCCCCAGTGGGCCAGCAAGTCCAGTCCAACAATGCACTCGTCTGTTATGTCGGCAAGCCAGAACTCATGGTTCACACTGTTCGTTCCCACCACCACCTGCAGAGTCTTTTTCCCCGGCATCACGGTCTTTTCTCCTGTGACAGTGTACAACGCTGTGTGAGTAGGGGTCCAGTCTTTTGGCAATGAGCCACCCGTCTCCGGGAGCACCCCCCTTCGCAGCAAGCAGATGGTGGACCCCGTGTCTACCAGGGCCCGGCAAGACCGTCCATCAACTATACAGTCCAGGTACAGTCCACGGGTGGACCCACAGCGGCCCACCACGGGATGAGTGTCATGGAGAGGGTTTAACGATTGGGGTGGGGGTTCCTTCACTGTCCCACCCCGTGGCCGTTTCCCGTCGGTGATGTCACTCGGCTCCGAGGACTAGGTGCGGGACAGTTCCGGGCGAGGTGACCAGGTTCCCCGCACCGATAACAGCAGTCCGTCCGGCGCCTCCGACGTGGAACTGCCTCTGATTGGGCTCGTCTGGCCTCCTCCTCCTCATCCGACTGGGACGCGTTCATCTCTCGCTCGACCATCCTGGCCGATCGTCGGGTCCCTGGCTCGCCCCGCAGCACCTCCTCAGCCCGCTCAGCCTCCCTCAGTGCCTCCTCCAGGTCTCGGGGGGATGACAGCCGGACATGCTGTCGCAGCCTCTCCGGTGTGAGGCCCCTCAGGAAGGCGTGGAGACCCAGCTCCTCTCGTGCCGCTCCTGGGAATGTCGGGTAGCCCCGTCGGGCATAGAGGCGGACATCCGCAGCAAAGGACCCCAGGCTCTCTCCTTCGCGTTGGCGTCGGCAAGCCAGCTCCTCCCTGCTCTGTTCGGCTGGTGGTCTCTGTCCAAACCGTCTGCCGAGCGCCGTGGTCAAGGCCCGGAGGTCGCGCTGCTCCTCTGGGGGCAGGTCCAGCAGAACCTGGAGCGCTGGGCCCTCCAGTGCAAGCGCCAGGTGGGTGGCAGTCTCTTCTTGACCCCACCCGTTGTGAGTGGCAGCCAGCGTGACTTGGGCCAGATACGGCTCCAGCTGCGTCGCCCCAGTGTAGTGCTGTAGCTTAGCAGCCGTCCTGCCAGGAAGCTGTGGTGCGGCCCCAGGAATCCCCTCCCGTCGCAGGGAGAGCAGGGGTGGCTGTTCCGGGGCGCGCTGTGGCCCTCTGGCCGCCCCAGCTCGGGTCTTCTCCGCTGGGTCTCGGCAGCCATGCTTTCCAGAAGCGAGCTGTTGTCTCGGATTACGCGCTCTAATTCGCCTATGGTCGGCTCCATAGTGTCTGCTAGACACTCATGAATCCCACTTCTGACACCAATTGTAACGACCGTGGGTTAGTGGAGCTAAACTGGCTAAACTGCTCACTAGCTAAACGGCTAGCGGGGCGCTAGCGGCTATCGCTACACTTCACAGCGAGTGGAGAGCGCTCGTGCCTCATACACCGCACGACCCCGAGCGTCTCAGCAGCAGACTGATAATCCCCAAATGATCCAGCAGGAGGCAGTAGTGGTTCACACCAGTCATTTATTTGCCGTATTTTTCACACAACGTAACACTGCTGACACCGAACCCCTATCACGCTCCCACCACATAGAGTCGCGGTGTCAGCCAACTATGCCAATTCACCCCCCTCCACAGAACACACATCAACTTCACTGTGGCTTACATTAACATAACACTAACACAACATGCAAATCAACACATATGAACTAGCAGAACGATAGAAAACACAGAGACAACACAATACCCAGAATGCACCTGGCTAACAACCCCAGCCAGGTCATTACAATATCATTGCATTAAAATGCTTCTAAAAGCCCCAGCACCATTTTAAAAAAGAACTGTTTAGTGACTCCAATTAGCAGAAATGAGTATGTGAAAACAAAAACAGCTAGTAAGATGTTTTCATCAGGTGGCCTCTAACAAAATCCAAACAAATGTTAACATTGGTCTGTTCCTGCTATTAATTTCATGATACGTGAATGGATGTAAGGCCAAATCTTTCCCCAGTAAGTGAACCCAGGAAAGGGTGGGCGTACAGGTGGTGTGACTGCCTGCAACCACTCCTGATTGGCTGAGGCGATGTAAGGCTTGGTCAAGCTGAAAATATTCAAAACACATTTCAGCACTATTGACACAAAGGAGATCTGGCACAGTGTGTATGTGAGTCAGGCTTATAAGCTTATATGAATGCCTTTGTATGTGTGCAAGTGAGCTTTTCGTTTATAAGCTTTAGGCTCAGTGGAGCCAAGATAACAAAGAACTGAAGGGAATAAAAATAAATGCCATAAAATGGCACTGTTAGTGTGAAGTTAGACAGATGAGTGTGTGCTGTTGTGGGCAGTCTAGACCAAACAAATATCACCATCCATCTGGCTGTATGAGTATCGTTTTTCTAGACATATTATAAAGGCTCAATATGCATGCATAAGCTGAATTTTAAAATAATGTGACTCAGAGCAAAGATTTCCCAGAAATAACTGACAATTAAGTTCTACAGCGTCGTCCTGCAGTAGAAATGATCATCTAGTATGGAGCAAGCCTGATTTATGATAGGCACTGGCAGTGACAGTGATTACAGGAAAGACTTTAAACTGCACATTTCAAAGATCTACCATACACAAAATATGTGTATGGTTTACATTGCACATGGGTACCTGTTTTCCTCCATCTGGTGTACTAAATTTAAGGATATTTTGGTTTACCAACTTTAACTAAACTTTTTCCTGATTAACCCCCTTTTCATAAACTTAAAACTAAAAAGTTTAAAATGAGGTGATTTATCTCAAATTACTGGACTGTCATTAACAGCCAGCACTGCTATTCATAATTTATAATACTACACCTAAATATATCAAAACCCTTCAAATCATTGGATGTTAAATATGTTAAATTTTAATGTGTCTCTCTTTTGCTATTCATTGTACTGTATGTATTTTTATTCTGGTTGGAGTAATGTTATATGGATTGTGCTATTTTCTTATTTTGCACTGGCATTTCTGTTGAGCTGTGGAATCTATCCAGTTGTAAATAAACAGCAGATTCATTGTAAAGCAATAGTATAGCTGCATTGAAAAGCAAATGTAATTTTCCTCTTTGGATGAATAAATACCAACAGAGATGTGGAGCATCAACTTTCCAGTCATTTTTGCAATGAATCAGTGTGGACTTGTGTCTGCAGAGAGAGCAGGAGCCTCAGAAGAAAGCATGACTATACATGAAAACACTTTGCAGGTTTAACCCTGAGGTGCTTTCTGAATACTTAACAGTGTCTAGGTCACATGACTGTAAAATATGTCAAACCACACTGAACTGAAACACTGAATATTTCTGAACCACACTGAGAAATGATACATTTTGAGAGTATTGACATGCACATCTGTTCTGGGTTATTTTAATGACTTTATAATTTTAAACAGATCAACATTTATATGACTCATCCTTATATGCATCCTCCTCAAATTTAATCAATAACAGTCATCATTTGCACTATTTAATGGGCTAATATGCCCATTAATGAGCAAATTCACCAACCAAGAACTTTACTTAAATAACCCATTTGTATTTAAAAGGTATTAAATATGTGAAGTTGAATTATAAGAAAATGAGGAAACATTGCAGTGATATATGAGAAAGATTACACATGTTGCCTAAGATATGCGGTGTGGTTAAAATGGGAGGGTTGAAAAACATAGTTAGGGCCCGAGTACTAGTCTGCGAAGGCCCTGTTGTAATCACTCCATTTATTTGCATTTGAATTTGTTAATTTGTGAAAAGAAAATTACTTTTTAGTAAAATATATTGACACTATCTCATCAATCACTGTAATGAGAAACAATATAAAGACATTGTGTCCTCATTTCAAACTCTGCTGCCACCCTGTGGTTCAGTTCCAGCAAAATAAAATCATTTTCCACCGAGTGACCTATAGGGACCCCGTTTGTTTGACATTTGGCCTCATCGTGCAGAAAGGCATGGAAGCAATAGATCTCATTATATGCATCAACAAATGTCTAATAGCGTCCCATTACTTATTGATCACTGACAGCCGCATTGCACGTCAAGTCTGGATCACAGTCTCATTTCTTATTAATGAGAGCATCGGGGTTGTCAACATGTAGGGTTTAATAATTGAGTAGCGATATTGTATTTTCAAACTTGCATTTAACACATGCTGTGAGAAGCGAGCTCAAATAAGGTAAACAGCTGCTAACATTGTGTGTACGCTTGACAAGAGAAAGAGGTCAAAGATTTTAAATTAATCAGGCATTTCATCATTTCAGAAAGCATTATTATCAGCATTAAAATTAAAACTGCTTGTTTACCAAGGACTAAATTAGAGCTATATGTTCTGTCTGGCATTTAAAAAACAAACAAACAAAAAAAGAACAGTGCCTTGTAAATAATATTCATACAATATAATATTGTCATAAGTCAAAATGACACTCAGGTAATTCACACTAACTCAATAAACACACACTAACAGAAAGAAGAACTATAGATCAATATCCTCATCTCATGTGTATAGCAGCAACATGATGGCTCATCATTCATTACTGCTAAATGCGTCATAAGGTTGCATTAATCATTCCCACCACACAGGTAGAGTAAAGCCTTCTGGTAATCTCCAGCTGTGTCTTCCTGTAAAGAGAAAAAAGAAGAAGAAGAAAAAGAGTCTCATTTAATTTGGGAGGTTGAACATTCATTTATCTACTCTTGTATGTTCGTTTTAGAAATGACTGAATTCTTTTCATTTAATTTAAGTACTGACAGAGTTAGTTTTGCCCAGTAACAGATTGGCGACCTGAGAAAATTAATGGAGATTACAGGGAGTGCAGAATTATTAGGGAAGTTGTATTTTTGAGGAATAATTTTATTATTGAACAACAACCATGTTCTCAATGAACCCAAAAAACTCATTAATATCAAAGCTGAATGTTTTTGGAAGTAGTTTTTAGTTTGTTTTTAGTTTTAGCTATTTTAGGGGGATATCTGTGTGTGCAGGTGACTATTACTGTGCATAAGTATTAGGCAACTTAACAAAAAACAAATATATACCCATTTCAATTATTTATTTTTACCAGTGAAACCAATATAACATCTCCACATTCACAAATATACATTTCTGACATTCAAAAACAAAACAAAAACAAATCAGTGACCAATATAGCCACCTTTCTTTGCAAGGACACTCAAAAGCCTGCCATCCATGGATCCTGTCAGTGTTTTGATCTGTTCACCATCAACATTGCGTGCAGCAGCAACCACAGCCTCCCAAACACTGTTCAGAGAGGTGTACTGTTTTCCCTCCTTGTAAATCTCACATTTGATGATGGACCACAGGTTCTCAATGGGGTTCAGATCAGGTGAACAAGGAGGTCATGTCATTAGTTTTTCTTCTTTTATACCCTTTCTTGCCAGCCAAGGATGCAGACTTCTTCCTGTACCACTGCTTGAAGAAGGTGTCTTCCAGAAACTGGCAGTAGGACTGGGAGTTGAGCTTGACTCCATCCTCAACCCGAAAAGGCCCCACAAGCTCATCTTTGATGATACCAGCCCAAACCAGTACTCCACCTCCACCTTGCTGGCGTCTGAGTCGGACTGGAGCTCTCTGCCCTTTACCAATCCAGCCACGGGCCCATCCATCTGGCCCATCAAGACTCACTCTCATTTCATCAGTCCATAAAACCTTAGAAAAACCAGTCTTGAGATATTTCTTGGCCCAGTCTTGACGTTTCAGCTTGTGTGTCTTGTTCAGTGGTGGTCGTCTTTCAGCCTTTCTTACCTTGGCCATGTCTCTGAGTATTGCACACCTTGTGCTTTTGGGCACTCCAGTGATGTTGCAGCTCTGAAATATGGCCAAACTGGTGGCAAGTGGCATCTTGGCAGCTGCACGCTTGACTTTTCTCAGTTCATGGGCAGTTATTTTGCGCCTTGGTTTTTCCACACGCTTCTTGCGACCCTGTTGACTATTTTGAATGAAACGCTTGATTGTTCGATGATCACGCTTCAGAAGCTTTGCAATTTTGAGACTGCTGCATCCCTCTGCAAGATATCTCACTATTTTTGACTTTTCTGAGGCTGTCAAGTCCTTCTTTTGATCCATTTTGCCAAAGGAAAGGACGTTGCCTAATAATTATGCACACCTGATATAGGGTGTTGATGTCATTAGACCACACCCCTTCTCATTACAGAGATGCACATCACCAAATATGCTTAATTGGTAGCAGGCTTTCGAGCCTATACAGCTTGGAGTAAGACAACATGCATGAAGAGGATGATGTGGACAAAATACTCATTTGCCTAATAATTCTGCACTCCCTGTATACTGACATGTGGGTAGCTCAGGTGTTTGGCTCTCCTACTCCTCCTCTCCACATGTCAGTTTGTCCTTGAGTAAAAGCATTTAACTCAACATCAACATCCTCCAGTTAGTCACATGTCCCAGTGTCTTTTGGCAGCTTCACAAATGCTACTAACATTTAGCTAATCGAAGCTAAAGCTATAAACATATATGAGCTTTCCTTCCACATTGACTTCAACTTCTGCTGATCTGATGTTACACAGAGTAAGGTAGAGAGTGTCCAGTTTGAGTTAACCACAGCACCTTTTCCCCCTGACACGTGCATTGATATCAATGCAGATTTTCTGCCATCAAAAGTCCCATTTTTTTCATCTGTTATCTCAAAATATCAAGTTAATAACTGCAACTGTTGACAAAAAAACCTTGAAATGTTGATGTTACAGATATTTTATCTAGAGCATTCATGTTCTTAATGGTCAGCTAACCTGTCCATCCATTGTCTTAACTGCTTATCTAATCCTGATTGGAAGGAAGGCTCGAGCCAACCCCAGCTGTCATCGAACAAACGGTGAGGTGGGACACCATAGACAAATCGCCAGGCCATCACAGGGCTACGTCACCTAGGTACTGCTGTAAATAAATAAATACAGCAATAAAATATCAATTTACTTTGCTTCTCTGAGCAAAATGCTACATGGCTATCCAGCTAGCTACCATGTGTTATACCATACCATACTTATGGTGGAATGGTTTTATAAGCTTGCACGTTATTTATCATCCCAGAGATTTTCATGCAGACAGTTGAATTTAAAGTTTACTAAGCAACAAAACATCAAAAATATAACAGAAATGCCCACTGTTTGGCAAATCTCTCAAGTCTAGAGTCATGCTCCAGCATGCTTGATGACTCTCTCTCTTCATGTTCTTTGCCTCCTCTGGATCTTTTCCTATTTTGCTGGGAAATATTTCCACAGGTACTCAAGTTCTGCTACCATCAGTCATTTCCTCTACTGAGGCAAAGCTAGCCGAGGTGACTATAATAATAATAAACTTTATTTAAAAAGCACACTTAAAACCAAGGGTATGCCAAGGTGCTTAACAAGTAACATAGAGAATAAAAGGAAGATAACAGAAATAGGACCAAAGCAAGTACTAGGTATGCAAGCAGATAGCTGTCACTGATACATAGGAACAAACAAGGAATTAAATGAGCATAAAAGTGCATAATAATAAATCATAAAAGAAATGTTAACTAGAGGGAAAGGCAAGATTGAATAAGTGGGTTTTTAGTCGTGATTTAAACAGTGCAATAGAATCAGAGGCGTGGATATCAATTCCACCGTACCGGGGCAGCCAGTGCAAACGCACGGTCACCCCGAGATTTCAGCCGAGATCTAGGTTGCGGCAGAAGTAGTTGAGTGGCAGATCTAAGTGTTCTAGCAGGAGTATGCGGCCTGAGAAGTTCACTAAGATAACTCGGTGCTAATTTATCAATAGTTTTGAACGTAAGGAGTAATATTTTAAATTGAATACAGTACTTTATGGGCAGCCAGTGCAAGCCAGCTAGAACAGGAGTAATAGAGCAAAATTTCCTTGTACCAGTCAAGAGGCAGGACTGTTTGCAGTCTAAGAAGAAGAGAAGAGGGAAGACCGTAGTACAAGGAGTTACAATAATTCAACCTGGAGGTCACAAAAGCATGAATAAGCTTCTCCAAGTCCTCATGCGGAACATAATACCTAGCCTTAGAGATAAGGCGCAGTTGGTGGAAGCTAGATCTCACTACAGCAGAGACTTGCTCATCGAGTTTGAGCGAGCTGTCCAGCAGTACACCTAAGTTACTGACATAGTCACAGGAAGAGCTAGCAAAGGGACCCAGGGCAGCACAAAGCTGGACACGAGGGATTTTACTGTTGAACACCACAATCTCAGTCTTCTTATCGTTTAAAACGAGGGAATTACTCAGGAACCATTCTTTGACCTCATGCATGCATTCTTGAAAGTAGTGCAGGGACACAGCAAGGTCGTCAGTAAGTTCAAAATAGATCTGTATGCTGTCGGCGTAACAGTGGAAGACGATATTGTATTTTTCAAAGATTACGCCTAGAGGGAGCAAATACAATGAGAAAAGAATAGGGCCTAAAACTGACACTTGAGGTACACCACAACACACCGGAGCGGAGGAAGAGGAGAAGGTGCCCAAGTTAACCGAAAAGGACCTGTCAGCGAGGTATAATTTAAACCAGTCAAGGGCAGCGCCTCTAATACCCACAGTGTGCTCAAGTCTTAATAATAAGATGTTATGGTCCACCATATCAAAAGCTGAAGAGAGGTCCAATAAAACTAGGACCATAGAGTGTCCAGTATCAGTGATTACAAGAATATCATTAAGAACTCTAACCAACGCCGTTTCAGTGCTATGCAATGGCTTAAAGGCAGATTGAAATTTCTCAGCAATATTGTTCGTGTCCAAGTACGCCTGGAGCTGGGAGAGAACTAGTCTCTCCAGGATCTTGGACAAAAACGAAAGCTTAGAGATCGGTCTGTAGTTTAAAAGGTCATAACAGCCTGTTTCTTTTTTTAAGAATCAGGTGGACTACAGCATGCTTAAAAGCCAAAGGAACACAGCCTGAGAGCAAGGAAAAGTTCATAAGAAATACGATACTAGGTCCAATTACATCAAAACAGTCCTTAGCTATGCGAGATGGAAGAATGTCAAGCACAGTATTGGTGTTATTCATTTGATCAACTAGCTGCTTAAGAGACAAAAGTGACACAGGCTAAAACTGGTGGAAAGTTGAAATGCACTCAAGAATGGGGAGAGGACATGGGGAAGGGAGGACTTAAGAGATGAGACCTTCTCTAAAACGTGAATTTGAAATCGCTCACAAAGAGCCTGAGAATAAGGTAAAGGCATGTCTGGGCAAGGGTTAACCACTGAGTTAAAAATTCTAAATAAGGTGCGGGGGTTATGACCATTGGCCCGGATGATTTTGGATAAGAAAGACGCTTTGGCCATTTTAGCAGCACTTTGGAGTTTTAAGCGGCTAGTCTGTAGCATGTCGTAAGAAACCTGAAGTTTATCTTTTTTCCACCTTATCTCAGCGCGCCGACACACGCGACGTAGAGCGCCCGTAGTGTCATTAAGCCAACACTGAGAATAGGTTCTAGGGCGATTCATTTTAATAGGGGTGTTGTGCCAAGAAGTGATTGCCTGCCAAAAACTGATTTCCAATGTTTCCGTGTGTTTTTTATGTGTAATATTGTTACGTATGTTGCTAAATAGACTTCGGTGAACAGGTATTGCAAAGGGGTTAAATACACAATTTAAAAAAATTACCTGTTTCTCAATTATCTTTGTAGCTGTGTTATTGTACTTAATTATAATCAATCAGCTTCCTTTTGTCCACTTAAAATATGTTTACAGAACTATTTTTGCATTTGTTGCAATTTCAGCTGTCCTCTTGGCCAGACTACTCTTAAAAGAGACATTTTTAAAGCAAACAAGAATTTTTTTTTTTTAACTGCATAAATAAAGGATACATAAAAGTCACTGCCAAAAAGTGATTGCGGCTTCTACCTCGTTACAGGAATGTTGTTTGTTGGTCAAGATGACTTGATATAATTCATGAGGGATATATTTGACATATGTTTCACATATTGTAGATCAACAAGTTATTTATAGCAGTTTAAATACAAGCAATCAGTTTTTGGCAGACAATCACTTTTTGGCACAACAGGGGCAAGAGTATCAAGGATAGAAGAAAATAACGATAGCAAGGTATTAGCACAGTCATCAACCGAGCGAAATGAACAACAGTCGGGAGTGACAGATGCAGAATCCAAGAAAGACATAGAGAAGTTTGACACCGCTTCAGCATTGATTACACGTAGTGGGCGAAGGGGAGCCGCAGGATGTAGTTCGTTAGTACATAAGCCAGTATCAAATATAACTGGGAAATGATCCGAGATCCCAGCGTCACTTATATCCATGATACAAATGAAATAAGTGCTTCCTGCATAATCGAGACGTTATTTTCAGGACAATTAATACTCTGCATTATACAGTACTGCTTACAGCGATCCACTCTAATTACTCATGGTTGATTATTATTCAATACACATTAGATTACACCATCCATGTTTACATCATATTGATAAGGAAAAGCAAAGTTTGATATCACTTTATAATCACTCCTCATTGAAAACTTCCATTGAAACTTTAGCACACTGTCCTTTATAAATACATATAAATACAGTTACAATGGTGGACGCTAGGGTGTAAGCCTAAGTATAAGCAATGAGCCAAAAGCTTAAAATAGCTTTTGACTTTAGAATAAAAATGTAAAGCCTTAAATAAGCTTAGTTAAGGCTTTACATTTTTATTCCACTTTTAATGTCAGGCATCCATGGTTGGTTGGTATTTTTTTGTCAGAAAATATTCAAAAAGCAAGTCTCCAAGTCATAATTACGGCTTGTATGTTGAAATTATCATTATTTACATGTTAGACACCATTAATTGTGGCAACTACTGTGTGACATAAACGTGCTCTTATAATAGCAGGAAAAGCACAGGCGTAATTAATGTCATTAGCTTTATGTAGCTCTGATTCATTTGGAAGGCAAAGTGAATAGTACACAGTACGGGGACTGTGAACATGCAGAATGAATTATAAATTATTTAAAAAGTGGAGAAATTGTAGAATAACTGCCATAATTAAGGAAAAAATGAACTCTGGTGAACTGTAAAAAATATATAATATATTTATTCAAGATTATTTCATAATGTGTTATTATCTATTCAGTACTGGCCATTTAGTTCTACAGGAGGATCGTAATAACTCTTCAATGGAGGAACATCTGGCATTAGGAGAACAGATTATTCACTTCATCTGGTGTGAAAAGAAGGGAAGCACACTGAGGGAGACATTTAAAGTAAATCACTAATCCCCACTCCATCACTGCACTGACGTGAGTAGTGTACAGCCATCATATCCATAGTAAACCCAGCTGGTGCTCTAAAGTCATGCAGAGGGACAGATGAGTATATTTAGCAGAATATGGAGACAACTGAGGAAAATTACATTTTACAGAAATGTGTTATTCTTCTGAAGTAATAGACTATTCAGTATGTTTCATTAAAAAAAGAGCACAAGGGAATGAACAGAAATCCTGAGGGGGCTGAAGCAGTACCTGAATGGTGGTGTACAGAGACTGTCCGTATATCTTCTTGAAACTGCCTCTGATGTCCACCTCACTCCTGGACACCATTATCCTCATCAGAGTGTCGTCATCGGTTCCAGCTCGCTAAATACACAGAAAGAAAGAAAGAAAGAAAGAAAGAAAGAAAGAAAGAAAGAAAGAAAGAAATCTGCTAACTGAGGCCAGTAGAGTCTGAGATATAGCTCTGGGGTCTTTGCAATTTCTGTGGCATTGCGTGGTCTAACACTGGGTTGGAGCACCAAATCACAGCAACAGTTGCCTCAATGCACTTTATATTGTAAGGTAAAGGCCCTATAATAATACTCCTGGAAAGATTGGCAACTGCCTCACATGTTTTCTTTATATTAACAGTCTTTATCATTCTAGATTATAGACTTCAGTTTCTTTGTAAACAGCTTTTTAACCCTTTACTGATTGATGGGCAGCAACAATGACTTCTCTAGAGTTATTGCTGATGTTGTTCATTCTTAACATTTTGTTAACATTACATTTCTAAACAGAATTTTAAACATGCTGATGATCAGCTGATCAAGTGATTTTGATTAGCAGTAGCTGGCTGCTACAATAAGGGTGTACTTACTTCCGCCTAAACGGCTTTAGCATTTTGGCTTTTTTGTGTTAAATTTCCACACGCTGAATGATGTCATGTGGTGATCCTCAGAGGTTCTGATGACTATAACTTCAGAATGGAAGGTGTACTTTCTTTCCCAAAATCTACAGTTATTACACAGTGAACCTTTAGTTTGCACTTCAAATATTAATTCAACATTTCGGAAAAAAATGCTTGTACATTTTCTTGCCCAGAGTTGAAAGGCAGGTTCAGGCCTCTTCCAGGTTAGTTAAGCTTTTAAACTATATCACTGTAAACACCATTTTGTTTTGGGTTTTTTTTTTTTTTTTTTTTTTGCTGTTTAGATGTAGAAAACAGCCTTTTAGTTTACTGGAAAATGACTACACAGTCACTCCTTGATTTGACTTCACTTTTGTTGCCCTATTCATTCTAATGCAACAGCTTGTATTGTAGCTACTCTTCTGATTTGAATTTAAAGTCTTCTTAATATATTGATATTCTCATATTTGAGCAAGACTAACATGAAAATAATTTGCTGAAGCATCATGGAGGGTTAAAAATGACACCAACACTAACCTCAAAATCTAATGTAGTCAAGTTATCTTTTTTGACAGATTTAACTTTGTTAAGATTGTTATTTATTATATACATATCATATATTTTACAGGTGAGTGATCGGTGAGTATTTTCATTAATTAGACTAGAGCGATGTGATAATGAGACATACCCTCATAGATTTATATAGTCTCTCAGCAAAGAAGTTTGGGATGCTCCCGGCACATTTCACTGTGGAGGAAAAAGACAAAAACTGATGAGGCTATGTGCAAGACTACATTTTTTGCAAAGTTAAGCTGACACTGTCTGATGTTCACTTTTTGCTATCAAGTGTTATCTTCTGTCATATTTTATTCAAAATTTCTTGAAAGAAAACCCCATCCAGGGATATTCTGATTACTTGTCCCCGTATGTGACGCCTAAATTATCACCCAGATAAATTGCGGCTCTTACCAACAGCCAGCAGCAAGTTCTCCAAATTCCCAGTGGTCTCGCCTCTAATGCTGTCCTCTATGTCAGAGCCAGAAAGCTTCTTGTAGGCAGCAAATACTGCAAAATAACCAAAACAGCCACAGTGACAGACACTCATACATCCTCATTAGAGAGAAACACATCAAGCAATTTTCAACTTGAACCTGTTTTTACTTCAGGGCAAAAAATATGTCAGTTTCAGCCCTTAGATGATCTCTTTGTGCACAATACGAGTGTTTTGGTGAGTTTACTGGATTACATTTTTTTATTGCATTTATATAAATCTACCTGGCACAGTGTGTAACAGTAATTGACCATCCCTTGTTAAATCATGAATTAATTGTGATTAACCACATTTTTTGGAAAGTCAAGTTCAGTTTCACTAGCCACACCCAGCCTGATTACTGTCAGTCCTGTTGAATCAAGAAATCACTTAAATATAACCTGTCTGAGAAAATGAAGTAGGTTAGAAGATCTCACATCATCCCACAATTTAAAGAAACTCGAGAAGAGATAAGAAACAGTGACAGAATGCTGGCAATCATGGACAATGACTCCCACCCCCTCCATAACACACTGGAAATCTGAAGAGCAGCAACAGGTTCCTTCAACCTTGCTGTCTGAGGGAACGTTATAGGAGGTCGTTCCTTCCTGCTGCTATCAGACTCTCTAATTCATCCATACAGTATTAATTGCACCTCAATGAACCCTGTCTCTTTTGTACACCATGACATTTTTGCACACATACTTTTATATATATGTATATTTATGTTTATATGTATGCTATATCTCTATATTTATCTATTCATCTTAATATTTATCTATCATAACTGTTTCTACACTCACATTTTATGAGTACTTGTTGTTTGTTGTATATTTGCTGCTATGACAACTCAATTTCCCTCTGGGATTAATAAAGTTTCTCTCATTCTCCGATTCTGTTTCTGAAACAAAGTCATTGACTTCTGTTAGTAAATCGGTTACAAAGCAAGACTTTCTAAGACTTTCAGACTCCAGTGGACCATGGTGTGAACCATGATCCACAAACTGAGAACATTTTGCACTATCTACCAAGTTACTCTAAGAGCGCACTGACAACTCATCCAGGAGGTCACAAAAAAACCCCCAAACAACACCCAAAGAACTGAAAACCTCACTTGTTTTAGTTAAGGTCAGAGTTCATGATTCAACAACAAGGAGGAGACTGGGTAATCATGGCATCATGCCTATGGGAGAGTTCTAAGATGAAAACTATTGTTAATCAGAGAGTACACAAAGGCTCGTCTCATGTCTGCCATTTATGATCCCCAAGACTTTTGGGAAAAAAAAATTTGTAGACTAACAAGACAAAGGTTGAGCTTTATGGGAGTTTTGAGTCCCATTACATCTGGTGCAAAACTAACAGCATTGTATAAAAATAACACCATACTAACAGTCAAATGTGGTGGTGGTAGTGGGATGGCCTGGGGCTGCTATGCTGCTTCAGGGCCTGGACAACTTACCCAAACTCCATCAATGGAACCATGAATTTTGCAATTCTACAAAGAAGAGTGGGTCAAAATTCACAAAATGTGTCCATAGTGATGTGAAAGGCTCATTGCCAATTATTGCAAATGCTTGACTGTTGTTGTTGTTCTCAAGGATGGTACAAGTAGTTATTATCTCCAATAAATCCAAGATCTATTGGAGATCACGGTCTGGTTTTCATTAGTGGAGAGAAGGTTGAACAAGTGACAACTTTAAGGTTAAAACTGTCTCTAGTGCCATTACTGAATGGTAATAGGTGAAATTGTAAATAAGTGTTTATATGTGTGTGTTATTGTACATGACGTGTTCCTCTCGATTCTCCAAAGTAAATTTCTGTCAAGGAAGACAATAAAGGCTAATCTACACTAATTGGCACAGATACAGAGGCATCAGTGTAAACTGAAATAACTGACATATTCCTGGTGTACCTCACTGCCTCATCAGTTAAAAAGTTGAATGTTGACGCAAATGCAAAAGAGACTGTCCCAACCACAAAAAAGACACAGATTGTCTGTTGTTTACTTAACTCTTTCCTGATAAACAACATATTGCAGTTGTGGAGCAAGTTAGTAGCTTTTCGCCTCTTAATGAGGACCACAATTTTTAGAGTTCAGAGAATAGGTCAGCATACGTGTTTGAACAGGTTTATATCCACTGTCATATGTTATGTTATATTGGTTTAATTGTGAAATTAATATGTTACTTTGTATTTTATCTTAGTATTGCTGCATCATTTTACTAAACCAAACTTGTCTACATTTTTTATTTTAATAAAAAAAGTTAACGTTACTAGATCAGAAAAACTGTGAAACGAGCAGTCAAAGTAATTTGATAGAAACTTGCCAACAACTGACTTTTAAAAGACTTGCTAAAGCACATCGATCGGTTTGTTGTTTGCTCACATCTGACTAAACCATTGCACTTTCTACGCTCTCAACTTACTCTCCACAATCTGTGCTGTTTAAGCATGCTTCACTGATATTTCCTGCACATTTTCTTACACTTTGACTTTTTTGTTTTCCTTTTTTTTTTTTTCCAGTGTTTGTCTTACACAGCATATCACGACATCCAAATGGGCTGGCACAGGCAAACTGACCTTTTCTGAGATGTTCAGCGCTCCTGTTGCCCAGAATTGTGATAAATTTTTCCTCATCTGTGCCAAACTTTCCCTCACCAGCAGCATACAAGTCCTGTAATGGAACACACACACACACACACACACACACACACACACACACACACACACACACCTCGTGCTGACTTGATTTATTGAAACACATGTTAAGAAATGACAGCCTTGTACTGTGCCAAATCAACAATGTCTTTTCCCCCTATTTGTTATTATAAAGAAAATCTAGATTTCCTGATTTTATGTCCTTCACCAAACGAAGGTTTTTGCTTTTTTTTTTTTTCTATCCTTGCTCAGAAATATTTTATCATATGATCAAATACCAAAATAATAACATATTCATATGAGTAATTTATTATTGCTTTTTAATGAATTAGCATTGCTTATTTCTCCTAATTTGATCACAGAGTGGCTTAACAACGCTCTGGTGTTATGAGTCAAGACGGACTGCTAGTCATGATAATTTGGTGTGTGTTTAGATACATGTTATTGAATGTTAATGTCTGCTACATGTAATGGTTTTAAAACAAGATGCCATAATTACACACACCTCTGTATGTCTAATGCCAACTTTTGGTGCAAGTATAGGAAGTAATACAAATTATATCAGTGTGTAAAGTTCCCCTTGAGGCACAGACTTTCCATTTCCTTAAACTTAAACAGACTTATTGAATATGTGGAAAACTGTATATTTATAGTGATACCCCAATGTCTATCTATTAAACATCATGCAGTGAGCTTAGCACACATACTGGACATGTGGAAACAGTTAGACTGTGTCTCTCCAAAGGTAACAAAATCCGCCTCCCTACACCTCAACACCTCACACATTATTTATCCAGTACAAAGATCGAAGTGTGTACGTGACAGTTCAATAATTTACTGCAGGGGATATGTGCAGGACTTTTTGGTAGAGAGCTATAACTTCTTGGAATCTTCACTGGGTGGCTGGAAATCAATACTAGTTGAGAAATAATCCTTATTTTTTATTTATTACATTTTTTTTTGCCATGTTAAAAATGATTTTCTAAGCCTCCCTATACCTTACCCAAAAAGTTAATTCTGTTGATCTGGATGTATTGATTTCAGTCGGAGAAACGTTTCGTCACTTATCCAAGTGACTGGGATGAGTGACGAAATGTTTAAAGTAATCCCTGTTGACCCTTTAATGGGCTTTGGTGAGATGCCTCCATTTATTCTTTCTCTGAAACAACCCATTTTATCTCCTCCTATTTAAATTAACCTTGTTCTGATAGGCAAACAGTGAGTGTCTGCAGTCGTAGAACATGGTGGAGGCTCTGTCATGGTTTGGGGCTTTATTTCAACCACAGGTGTTGGAGATTATTGAAATTAATGGAATGATGAATTATTAATGCAGAGAAGAACCATTAGATTCTGATCCAGCATGCAATACCAGCTGATAACAACAACTTAATTTTTAAACATGACAATGATCCCACACTGCCAGGGCAGTAAAAGCATGCATAGATAGAAAAAACACACAATGGAACACTATTATGGGCATTGACCGCTCGCAGGAGAGCCTGGACAGCAACATTATTGAAGCAGTGTGGGATCATCTTGATAGAGAACAGAACAAAAAGGCAGCCGACCTCCAAAGAAAACCTTTGAATATCTTTCAAGAAACCTGGGCAACTATTCCTGAAGGCTACTTAAAGAAATTACAAGAAAGCTCAGGCTGTGTTAAAACATGGTCAAATATTGACTTTCATCCTTTTTAGAATAGCATAAGCTCTGTTTTTGTCATATATGTTCCAATAAATTGCTGCACTTATTTCCCATTTTCAAGTAAAATATTAAGAAATGAAGTGTAACTCAAGACTTTTTCAAAGTACTGTATACAAAAAATAAGGAAAACATAGTAGTCCTGTAAAAACAATGGAATTAGACATAAAAAATAAAAAAACCCCGGCTCGATTAACACCAGTGTAATTGGGTAATAATAAAAACAGTGATTTCTTGTTAATGTAGTGTTGAAGTTGCTTGAATTCGCTGGACAAACTCACAAAGCTAAAGTGGAAAGCCAGCTCTTGCCATGTGTATTTTTATCTCATGTTCTTCCTTCTTACCTTAGCGTCTTTCTCGATCTTTTCCTCGTCTACTCCCTCCTCCCTACTCCCCTTTGCAGCCAGACGAAAAAAAGAGAGGTAGGAAACCAGACAGGTACAAAGACAGGTGGACAAACATAGAGTAAAGTAGGTCAGTGTGGATGGAAACATGGTGCGCTCAGACCTCTCAACCCAGGTAACATCTGAACACCTAATTAAATGATCCCTCAAATCTACAAGAACCATGAAAATTACTTTTCCTTCTGTATAAACATCACATTAAAGAAACTAAATGTGCTGTCATCCCCCTCCCCCTTTCCAGCCTACACGTCTCATGACTTTCTAATGGCATCACTGTAGGATCTCATTATCAGGAAAAGAAACATAAGTCTTTCCAGCAGTGCCCTTCTTTACCTGCAGCAGGATCACCAGCAGTTTCTGATAGTGCCCTGAGGTGTCACCACAGATATCCTTCTCCAGCTTTCCGCCAAACTCTGGAGGAAAGAAGAGAAGGGGGTCAGACGATTGCTTACAGTTCCTGTTCACGACAGTTGCTAATGATTTCAGTCGACCTTAGTAGGCTGTCCTCTGTTTTGCAGGATGAGCCATGAGAGGAGAGATTTGATTAGTTGACTAAGGGTCTATGCTTTCGTCCAGATCAGATAAACTGCATTCTCTGCCTTGGGCCATTTGAGCCTTTGTTATCACATATTTTCCATCACGGTTTGTTGTAAGTCACAGCTGCTATGTTAGAGACCTTTCATTAAAGTGTGACAGGTGATACAAAGGTGCAGTGTGTTTATTACTCGGATGACAGAACATATTACACTGAAAATAAAAAGGATCAGCACCACGCTATGGGCTTTAAATAAGCATGGTACTCTAGAGAAAAGAGGAGATATTATAAATCTATATGAATAAAGAAACTATATACGATATACTGTTATTTCTGTACTATGCAGTAAATTGACAATAGGCACGCCATCATAGGTTTGGGACTAAAATACTTGAGGGAGGGGTTTGCATTAGGATGGGCATTTAATGTCAAATCTGTTACAACTCAAGTATGCAGATCCATCTGCTGTGGTGAGCCCTTGGGAATGAGCCCAGACCTTTATTTTACTAGCAGGCATGAGTGCCTGTGCATTGCTCCCATGCAGCTTGGATATCCAAGCTGTATACCCTTGCTTGCTACCCTCAGCTAATAACTTAGCACTCAACCATCTTGTCTAAATATGGTCACTTCTGGCTTTTGTGGTGTCCAAAATGAATGTTTTGGCTTCGAAATGTGAATTTCTTATTCACAGTTGTCTTATAAAATCTATGTTTGCTTACAGAGTCATAAGGATAAAGCGATTCAAACTTGTCCTGTGTACTCTAATGTAGATCCCCAAGTTTCCTACACAAACATCATATAAATTTAACGAAGATTTGGAACAAATTAAACTGAGTGAGAAGTTGGACAACTTGGAATTGTAAGCACAAGGAAAGGCCAGATAATTTTCAGCTAACTCAGCCTATTAGCTAATTAGCAAGTCAGTGTAATCCTTAAACGTGTGATAGACTCACAGCCTATCTAGTGTACCCCGCCTCTCACACTGTTACACACTGTTCCTGCTACTAAGTGACCCTGAATGGAATAAGCAATTAAGAAAATGGATGGATCGAATTTCATCTCTATAGTTTTAAGACAATTAATTACCTATAAAAAAAATCACTCCAGACACAGACTGGGTATCTTGATTTTGAATATTTGAAGGCCTCGTAGGCACACACACACACACACACACACACACACACACACACACACACACACACACACACACACACACACACACACACACGTCCTTTTGTAACAACAGTAACCCTACACATTGAAAAATGATGACTTGGAAGTGGCATAGTCATCTTAGTTCTTTTATAAACTGTTGTGTTTTTTTTCAGCGCCCCCAAAAAACTTGTGGGCATGGGCATGTAACTAAATTACGTTTGGTAAGTTCTCATTTTCCACTAATAATCCAAACTGGATTCTTTTAATTATGACTCATTTCCTCGTTGTTATTTTTAACTGTTTTAGTTAACAACCGGTGGTGTAACCCTGCCAACATAACAATCAAAGAAAGGATTTGTTGCCCGGACACTGAACTGTGTGCTGTTGGACTCAGGCCGTATTATTTACCCAGGGAATTCTCTCACGTCATCTTGGTGGCTGTTTATGTTCCCCCCTCTGCTAACCCCACAGCTGCATGTGACACTATCCACTCTGCCATAGCTCGGCTACAGACTCAGCACCCGAGTGCCTTTATTGTGATCTCGGGTGACTTCAACCATGTATCACTGGACAATACACTACCAACATTCAAACAATATGTGGACTGTCCCACCAGGGGAGAGAAAACTTTAGACTTACTGTATGCTAACGCCAAGGATGCATACAGCTCCTCCTCCCTCCCCCACTTGGTAGGTCAGATCATAACCTGATTCACCTCACCCCCCGCTATGTGCCAATTGTGAGGAGGGAACCTGTGACCACCAGGACTGTTAGGAGGTGGTCAGAGGAGGCAATAGCGGAACTACAGGGCTGTTTCGAGGTGACCGACTGGGAAACACTCTGTGAGCCTCACGCCGAGGACATCAATGGGCTTACTGAGTGTATCACAGACTACATAACTTTCTGCACCGACTCCATTGTTCCAGCTCAGACTGTTCATTGTTACCCAAATAACAAGCCGTGGGTGACTAAGGACATCAAAGCCCTCCTCAACAACAAGAAGAGGGCTTTCAGAGGGGGCAACAAAGAGGAGGTGAGGAAGGTCCAGGTGTTACTAAAGGACAAGATCAGAGAGGCTAAGGACAATTACAGGAGGAAGCTGGAGTGGAAACTCCAGCAGAACAGCATGAGAGAGGTGTGGAGGGGCATGAAGACCATCACTGGATTCAGGCCAACCAACAGCAGGGGAACTGAGGGAGGTGAGAATAGAGCCGACGAGTTGAATCTGTTTTTCAATAGATTCGACACCACAGTGTCTGCTCCCACCCCCACAACCTCACCTGTAGTCAGCCTGGAATCCAGAGCCACACCACTGTGCCAGCCTCTCTCTTCACATGTTGCCTCCTGTGAGATTCCTGACACCGCTCCCCCACCCATCACCTTCACTCAATACCAGGTTGAGATGCAAATGAGGAGACTTCACTCAGGCAAGTCTGCTGGACCAGACGGAGTGAGTCCCCTTGTCCTCAAGGCCTGTGCCCCCCAGCTGTGTGGAGTCTTTCATAAACTGTTTATGCTGAGTCTGAGTCTGCAGAGGGTCCCGGTGATGTGGAAGACATCATGCCTCGTCCCTGTACCAAAGACGCCTCGTCCCAGTGGCCCCCAGGATTACAGGCCCGTGGCACTGACCTCCCACATCATGAAGACCCTGGAAAGGCTCATCCTGGACCAGCTGCGACCCATAGTAAGACCACACCTGGATCCCCTTCAGTTCGCTTATCAGCCTCGTCTCGGAACAGAGGACGCCATCATCTACCTGCTCAATCGTGTCTACACCCATCTGGACCAGCCGGCGAGCACTGTGAGGGTCATGTTTTTTGACTTTTCCAGTGCTTTCAACACCATCAGGCCGACCCTCCTGGGTGATAAGTTAGCAGCGATGCAGGTGGATGCTTCTCTGGTGTCCTGGATTGTTGATTACCTGACAGGAAGACCACAATATGTACGTCTCCCACAGTGTGTGTCTGACAAGGTGATCAGCAACACAGGGGCACCACAGGGGACTGTCCTCTCCCCCTTCCTCTTCACCCTCTACACCACAGACTTCAGCCACTGCACAGAGACCTGCCATCTTCAGAAGTTTTCTGATGACTCTGCGGTGGTTGGATGCATCAGCAGGGATGATGAGACAGAGTACCGGGCTGTGGTCGACTCCTTTGTCACGTGGTGTGAGCAGAATCATCTGCAGCTCAACGTGGCAAAGACCAAGGAACTGATCGTGGACTTCAGGAAGACCAGGAAACACTTGACCCCTGTTTCAATCCAGGGGGTCAGTGTTGACATTGTGGAGGACTATAAATACCTTGGAGTACACATTGACAATAAACTGGACTGGGCTAAAAACACCACAGCACTTTACAGGAAGGGCCAGAGTCGTCTCTATTTTTTGAGGCGACTGAGGTCCTTCAACATCTGCCAGAAAATGCTGAGGATTTTCTATGAGTCTGTGGTGGCCAGTGCGATCCTCTATGCTGTTGCATGCTGGGGGAGCAGGCTGAGGGTCGCAGATGCCAACAGACTTAATAAACTGATCCGTAAGGCCAGCAATGTTGTGGGGATGGAGCTGGACTCCCTCAAGGTGGTGTCGGAGAGGCGGATGCTGTCCAAGATAAAGACAATGTTGGATAACACCTCCCACCCACTCCATGACATGTTGGTCAGTCACAGGAGCTCGTTCAGTGAGAGACTGAGATTACCGAAAAGCACCACTGAACGACACAGGAAATCATTCCTGCCTGTGGCCATCTCCCTGTACAACGCATCCACTTAACACACTGTTTGCTGCTACAACTACACATGTTTCTTTTCCAAATATTTATTTATAAGTGACTTATGTATGTATGTATGTATATATATGTATATATTGTACTATTCTTAGTTAGCGTATTGTCTGTCTTGTCTTAATGTTGGTTTAAAATGGAGCACTGTAACAAAAAATAATTTCCCCCAGGGATCAATAAAGTATTCTGATTCTGATTCTGATAACTGTGACAATTATAACCAATTAAGCTTTAATCAAAACATGATCTTGACATTAATCAAATCCCCTTTGTGCCAAAAACTATCAAAACATTAATGGCAGTTTACTTTTAAAAAGTAAAAAGCTATAAAGCTTTTAAAGGCGCAGATATCTTCTGCCAATGCAGTGCCAGTAAAACAAAACATCTTAATGCATTCTTCTAGATGCGTCATTATTTGTAGTAGTCACAGTAACCATGTTTGTCTGTTTTTCTCTGCCTCTTCATCAGTGGAGTGTTTTACCTTTCTTGTACACTTTGGTGAATTCTTTAATCTGCTCGCCAGTCCTTGAGGCCAGGATCTCAATTAGCACTTCATCTTCAGTCCCGGCACCCTGGGAACCCGACGCATGAGATAAATGGAGTCAGTGTGAAACAATATCCATATCTGTTCAATATTAAATTTTAGTACATGTTTATTATACATTAGGCTATATCATTGATTAGTAATATGAAAAAAGAAAGCCTAAAAGTCGATAAAGAAAAATATAGAAATAATAAAAGATGTACAACTTGAGAGCATAGCAGAGTTAAAAGGTTTGCAATTAGAGAACGAATAGGTTCAATACTAAAGAGAAATATCTTTGACGTTCACTTCTCTATGCTGCAATTAACCTTACAGCAAGACTGTCTGGCAAACCTAACTAATGGAGGAGTGGGTGTGATAGGAATGTTGAGGCCAAGTCCTAAATGCTTTGCTCTCACTTTGACTAAACACTTCATTTGCACATGGGTAATGCAAATGTAAATGTGTCTGAAGAATAATGAGACAGAAAAAAAATTTCATTTGTAAATCATATGAGAATCTGAGAGTTTGCTAAATGTTTTTCCCTCATGCAATTCCCTTCTAACTTTATGAGCCTCCTGTGACCTGAAAAAGAGCACTCATAAAATGTCTGAAATATAATGTCTCCACTAGCTATTTGTTGCTGGACAGCCTAGAGTTTAACATTTTTCTACTTCAGCTATTATTACATTAATACATAATCATAGTTTCTTAATCTAGGAAGTCTAAAAGGGGCATTAGAAACAACAAATATGTATGAATTAATGAGAAATAAATAATACTTTAGTGGTTGCATGCATTATTATGGTATTCTTTTGAAAATTTGCTTGTTCAAAATATTAAAGACTTACAAAGACTGCATTTTCATTATATTTCTGTTTGATTCAGATATATGAATTAGCAGACCTACAAAAACTGAATAGTCAGATAATAAGAAGTATGAGTAATGAGTTTTTAAATGGCTGATGATCACTTTGGCTCTCAGTACAAGTGCACTCCCACTAATTTTAGAAGCACCCTAAACTATTGTGTTCTGGAAACGAGCCCTGGCTATTGGTTGAAAACAGCTGCTTCCTGCTGTTGGAGTCGAGCTTGATGATAGCATTGTAACATATCAGTAAATGTGATGTAATGCCAAAATGTTGATCTAAAAAAGAATGGGCATCAGAGATTGGTCTAAATGGTCTTTGTGGAGTTGTCAAGCAGCTTCTATCGCATACTGTTAACATAAAATAAAAGGTTTTGAACGTCATGTGGGAAAACAGATAATAATACATGTTAGGTGGCCTACCTGTTGGCCCAAAGATTTATAACGAAGCTGAGTTGAGTTAAGAGACTAGTAGCAACAGTGGCAGGAACTATTTTTTTATTATGTAGAAAGAGTTCCTGCCACTGTTGCTTTTAGTTAAAAAGACAAACTGGAAAAAGGTCCTTCTGGTGGCAAACATTTTACCTTTTCAACCAAACTTTTCAGAACACTTTTTCAGTAATGTTTGAGTTCCATTTATGTGGGCTAAAGAGAGGGAGGGAGCTGGTAGTGTGCATGATATCTTACTAGCAATTATGTTTGCAACTCTTTTTTCATGTATTAGATGCTTTATTGCTAATGTTGAAACTCTGTGTAATGTAGATTAAAAAAATTAAACCTTTTCATCTCTTGTAGTTGAAATCTGTAAAATGGCTTCAATATGAATATAGTGCATTGACTGAATAAAAGATGGACATAATCATAATGACATCACCTATTGGTTTGAGAAGCCACTGCATTGCTGAACAGTATTATTTTGTTTCTATGTACAAAGTGAATAATGAATAACAGCAAAACACACACATACACCAAAAATTGAAATTTCAGTGGTCCCTAATTTACTCATTTGTTTGTCTGGCTTTGAGAAGTTGAAATGTCTGTTGTCAACTATGAAGTGTTTCCTAATCAAACATTATTCAAAAAACATCACAATAAAAACGTAGGCTACATTCACATTTACATGAGACCTGTAACGTGGTTTAAGTTGTTACCTTGAGAGCGTTGTGCAGGAGAGTAGCATCATATAAGACAGATGGGGTCATCAGAGCCACAATAAGACTCTCAAACAGTCCACCGAGCTCAGATTTCAGTGCACTGACCAAGTCCTGTGGTCAAATAATTAATAATAATGAGAGGAGCTAAAACAGTAATAACTATATTGGTAACAGGGACATTTATATAAACCACACCAGATCCCAACATTAAAAAACACAAAATGGCCATTCAGGACCTTGATGTGAAGAAGATGAGGGGAAAAAAAATTACATCTCACTGCTTCGCTTATACTTAGAGTATTCAATGTGACCTGCAGAAGAGGAAAATATATTTACTTTGCAAATTACTCACAGCTGGCTTTCTCTAAATTGTTTTCTGCCTCCAATGATTTGTGCATTGCAGGAACCAAATGAACAACAGCATATACCATCGTTATTTGAGTATGTGGCTCTATTTGTGTACACAAAAACACCCACAGCACTGTGCTCATCCAAGTGCTCTTTGGAGAAGTCCAGAAATCACGATTCTAGCTGAATACATTAGATATTAAGCAGAAATTCCCCATATTTCTGGATAACACAATCCATCTATTTGTTACCGTATTTTTTGTGTGTAGAACGAGTTAAATTTCTCAAGTCAGACTAATCAAATCCCTACAAAGAATGTGGAAAAAAGAAAATGACAGAGGATGTAATATTTTGTTCGGTTATATAGAAAAAAGTAGACTCGGGCTTCAGATATTTTTGCAGTTGAGCACAATTGTGTAATGGCGTCATGACATTTTAATACATCTCATAAAGATTCTCTGCAATACTGAGCAAAGCAAAAAGTCTCACGTTCTGGGTCATTTTGATAAAACACTGTAATATACAGAGCTATCCCTGGAGCTGTTTTGTGATACATCTATGCTCTCTCAAACTCCTCCATCTACTTATACTTGAGACAGAAAGAAAATTAGCTTTCAGCTTTCAATCCACAGGTGGGCATAAAAAAAATCTTCACTGTGTGACAGAACAGTGAGACTATGGATGCTTAAAATTCTGTCTAACTAGCTGCACTGAATTCTGCGCCATAGAGACTGGGGAGAACTGCCCTTCCTGCCACTTATTTGAGGACTGTTCAGTCTTGATCCAAAATCTTGCCCTTTAAATCACAGACTTAATGTTTTTGGCTGCCTTTTTGCTGTTAAAAATTGATGAACAGAAGACAGCCAATGGTGAAAAACCAGCAAGATTCTATACTTAAGTAATATAACAATGTGAAAAAATTACAAGCAAAGGTCCTGTATGCAAAATTTCACCTAGTTAGGTGCACAAAAAGCAATGGAAATGTTATAAGTCATAAGGATTTATTCCTCTATCAGTTGTACCTGCTCCCTAATTGATTAAATAGGTATTGGAGAACTCATCCAAGGAAAAGCTCAAAACTAATCAAGTGCAATATTGAGGTCTTTACTTAAGCACATTTGTTTGTATTTTGAACATAGCTAATTCATTCTTTAATAGCTTTAAAATGTGACTCTGACATGCTAGTGCAGTGCTTTGCACCGTCACCTCACAGCAAAAAGGTCCTTAAATTCAGGCTAGGGCCTCTTTGTTTTTTTTATTATTATTATTAGTAAAAAAAAATAAATTAGTAAAATATAATGACTGTAAATTGCCTTCAGGTGTAAACGATAGCTGGAAGCTACGACACGTTGTAGTCCCCTTTGTTTTGATGTCAAATAACACAGAAGCCCCAAGTACCCGCTGTTCAGAGTTTTAGTTTGTGAGGGGCAGCCAATCAGAAGACAGTTACCTTAAAGGAAGAGGAGCTAAACTGTCTTTTTTGAGACAGAGAAAGTAGTGAGAGGTTGCATCAAGGCCCAATTTGACATAAATAAGGATTATTTTGAGTTGTGAAACACACACACAGCTGGAGTCTAAGACTAAATATACTGGGCTGGAAATGAGCATGAGAAGTGCATGTTAAATATACAATTCTTAAAACAGTCAAGATGTTACACATGCACAAACCTACTGTAGACAGATACTCATTTCTGGGCTTATTACTTGTGAGCCCAACACAGAAGCATGGTGCAGGAAGGTGGGGAGGCACATAACAGCTGACAGTGTGCAAGAGGTGGGGTACACTCATGACAAGACTAATACATCCCATGGTGAATGCAGAAAGACAGCCAACTATTCACGCTCAGTGAAACACCTGCAGCATATTTAGAAGGATGATATATTCTCAGTCTTCAGTGCCTGGGGTGAAGTTGACCATCAGCCAGGTTGGTTTTGTGAAGTGAGGAATGCAGAGTGGATGGCACGACCTGTAATTGTATATCAGTTCTCTGTTTAATTCCTAGTGGCTCTTCTCACCTTTCCGTGGGCCTTTTTATATACTGCCTTAATTTGCTGGCGCTGATCATTGCTGCGGGCTGTAAGAAGCATGAGGATGGCATCTTCATCTGTACCTGCACCAGAAATCATATAAACCTTAAATAATGTGTGGAAAATGACTCTGAAATCATCTGCAATGTGGGTCAAGACAAAAGAAGCTTTTCATTTCAAGTCTCTTTTCAAACACAACACAAATCCTTATTATGATAGCTTCCAGTATATCCTAACCTAAATGAGTCAGCCTGTTAGAGCATGAGATCAGGATTCAAAAGGATTGGCATGGCAGATGATCTAACAACCAATAGCTTTCTAAAGTCAACAGCACCTTAGTAAAAAAAAAAAAAAAAAAAAAAAAAAAAAAAAAAAGGCTCAGAGACGCAAACAGGCTGAAGCAGCATGTATCATTTTCAATTCAGGGATCAAATGTTAAATTAGTGAAAGGTAATTATGGCACAAAGCCCAGCTGATCTGCAGTGACAGCACTGACTAAAGAACTGTACTTAAGTAGTGCAAGTCTGCTGTTTCAAGTTTGAGTCCACAGTAGTTTGCAGACAGGGAAACCATTAATTAGATCTAATGGTTCTGCTTGTACTGGTCATAAAGTGTTAGGAAATATAATTTACAGTGTTATCGCTTTCTCTCTCTGACACATGCGTCAGTTTTAATGTTGGTGATACACTAATTGGTAAAACACACTAGAAAAATGAATTGCTTTCCCATCTTTCAGATGATGCTTACAAAAGGGAGCAGTTCAGATGCTCTGACAGCTGTGTCAGTAATGTGTTTTTATCTTTGTTCATTATCTGTTTTCACATCCTTTCCTGTATTTACAACCACTACTGACAAATAAGAAGACAACAGTTTTTTATTAAATTAATATAGGATGAAATGACTGGTCATGCTTTTTGTAGCTTTGCCTCCTTACATCACCACAGTGGACTTTAAATCAAGCAGTCAATATGTAATTATGTGCAGAATTTCAGCTTTAAACCAAGGAATGTTACAAAAATTGTGCATGACTATTTAGAAATTACAGTAGTTTTATACTTAGTTCCCCATTTTCAGAGGTACAGCTTTTTCATTGAATGACTTACATAGGGACCTGCCAAGTAAATAAATAAACACACCTAAGCAGCTATAAAAAAAAAAAAAAAAAAAAAAAAAAAGCTTTCAACTGTGCAAAGAATTCATTTTTTGTATTTATGGTCATCGCTGTGAAATGTTGCATACAATAGTTAGTTAATGTCGTATGACATGCTAGTGTCAATGTGAAATGAAAGTGAGCAGCAATACATTTAAGCAGGATACTGACCCATCCCTTTCATGGCCTTATGGAGGATTTCAGCATCATGTTTGGCATTGAAGTTGACGTAAGGTCTAACGCTGCCTCGGTACGCCTGTAGGAAGAGAGCAACACATGTAAGTAATAAAACATTTGTAACAAGCAAAGGTTTCCTTCATCTGTCTTTGTTAGTAACAACAGTTAGCATGCTGATGTGAATGCACTCATGTAAGTGCAAGTATGCATGCATTTTATATACCCAATACTCACTGTTGTTACACCCCAGACCAGGGAACCGGCGTGCGACATAAGGAAAATAAAAATAAGGAAAAAATGCCCCCCACACTCCCTGCTCTCAAGGAGGACGAACCAACAAAAAACAGCTACCACGGATTTCACAACAGCCAGTCAGTTTATTGAGTCCCAAAAGGTAGCAGGCATCAGGGTGAGCATGGCCAAAACAAACAAAAACTCTAGAAATGAAATGCAGCTGGCTTACCTTCACAGAAAACCCCAAATGAAAATTACAGGTGTCTTACCTGCCTCCCTAACCAAAAACAGGAGAAAAGGTTCCCAAAGAAAAATGGCTTCTCACCCCTACAGCTAACGAGTTAAAGTATTGACAACTATTTACATCTATATACAACAAACTATTTACAACACGCGGGGAGATCACGACCCATGACAAACTGAAACACAGGGCTTAAATACATAGAGGGAGCAATCAGGGAATGGACAACAGGAGGGAAACACAGCTGGGGCAAATCAGAACTGACGAGACAAGGAAGCGTAAACTGAACACACTGAGATAAGACAGACCTTCAAAGTATAACAGGAAACACATAACAGTCACGCCTAACACAAAACACTGACAACATTGGATCGTAACACTGTACTTTCACACATAGGTTATTACCAATTCTGGCTCGAATCATACATGAAAAAAAAACAATTATATTATTTTTTGTGCACCTATTGCACTTAAAATTAAATCCTTCCCAGATCAATTCTCAATTTAAAACCAATGGTAGTGCAGTAGTAGTGAATTAGTACAAGACTTTCATAACTTTAGCACCATTTCAGCTAGTCGGGTAGATGGTGCTTCATGCAATGCCCTTTTCTGGCACAGAATAAAACTCCAGCAGAATTTTTTTATTCTGTGGGCATAAAAATTTTAAGATACTGAAAATTGCAAGCGACTGTTAGTAGCAGCACTATAAACTTTTGCCAAAGGCCATCAAAAACCTGCATGGGTTTAAATGTTGTCTAACCCAACAGTGAGGCAATACTTTAAGTAGAACCTAAATCAGGTCTGACTGCTGGTTTTTGTCAGCAGGTAATTTTTAAAAAATGTGTTTTCATCTTACTTGGACGTGCACACATTCTTAAGGGAAAAGGCCATTTGTAGAAGAAGCAGTAAAACCTCAGCTGCAGCCTTGTAATAAACTGTGCAGGTGGAGAAATGAACAAATACACCTCCTACACCTCTTTATAAAGATTTGTATTATTTCTCTTGTTGATCATTTGTGTGTGCTATTCTGTATGTTCATACAAAAATGGCTTATAAATGTTACAGCGTGCTCAAGAGAGCAACCTCCTTCTGCAACTTGACAGCGTCTCCTTGAAGTGTCAGTGCTACTGTCACTGTGTTTATTCTGCCTGTATTGTCAACCAGTTCAATTTGGCACCACAACCTCTCAAAAGCTTTTTATGTTACAGTTTTTAGCATTATTGTTCTTTCTGCTTTTTGCTACAAATTCTATCATTCAGACTTTCTACTAAGACACACAACAGTTCGTTTTAGATGCTTCCTTGTAACAAGAGTAGTTCAACGTGTTTGAGTTTTATCCCAAACACCCTTCCTACTGCAAAACAAAAGGGAATTTGTGTCTCTGGCTGGAATTGCACTAGCATTTGTAAACCACTACACTATAAAGCCACCTTTCTACTGAGACACACAATGTATACAAAAGATGGACATCTGTTTTAACATCTCCCAGTAGTTGGGCATTTTCACTTTGGCAATCTTGGTGTTTTAAAAATGGTGCAAAGGCTTGAATCTAGAACAGATATTCATCTGGAAATGTTTACTTAGCCTTTTCCCAACATTAATTGAGGTGTCTCAGCATTTATCAGATCAACTGTCCTGAAATACACTAGTAATCTTAACAGTTTTACAAAGCAGTTTATGATAAAAAGTCATGTGTGGCTGAAAGATAAAACCATGTAAAGAAGTCCTTTATAAATTCTTACTCTGACATGTGAAGGAACCTATTGTCCAAACGACACTGAACGTTGGGGTCAAGAGCAGCTCTGAAGGATAATTAGTCAAATCTGCATCACATGAAATAACACACAAAAAGCAAAACGACTGATGGATAATTCCATGTCAGTTTATCAACTGCCTCCCAGCTGACCAGCTTGGATTTGCCAGAGCAAAACTCCACAAGGAAAATAGGACTCATTTGATTACACATACTCTCTTTTTGGCCAGGAAAATAATTTCTTACTGGGCAGTGAGCGTGCATAAATTGAATTAAAATATCTTGCTCTACTTCTGAAACAGTCTTTGGCTGCCATAAACAAATAACTGAACTCAAAAATTCAAACGGGAAAACGAGAGAGAGAACCATCAGAAATGTAGGATATTAGCATTAGCATATTAGCATATTAACAGAAACTTGTTCTTTCAGCTACCTACATACAGGCTTCTATCATCAGGGATTATTCTTATTAAGAAGTGTCTCTTCCCTGGATTGTTTTTTTTTTTTTTCAAGGCAAAAGCTTCAGGGGGAAGGCTTTTTTTCTTTGTTTGGTTGTTATTATATGAAAAATTGAGATGGAATTGTCCATTTTATGCTGTAGTAGGTATTGTAGCAAACTTTTCATTAGATGTCTGGATGAATGGATGGATAATTAAATGAAGATATAAGGGATTAGTAAGCAAACACAAATTTTAACTTAAAAGCAGCACTGGGTGTTTGTTTGTGAGTGTGTCAAACTGTAAATGAGTTACCTATTCTGTACATTAGCGGGAAACATTGAAAACTGATACATGTCCTTTGAGCATTTTTAGAGACCAGAATAACTTTTTGTGTATAACATTCAATGTATAACCATTGAAGTCATGCTCAAAAACTACACATTTGCCTTTGACTTTATCTTCACCAATATCTCCTCTTCTAAAATTTTATTCTTTTTTCTCTTTTGGCTAAAAGCTGTTCCTGACTAAATCCTGAGAGATCACAGGTCAGGTCCTATCAGTTAAAGATGACTTGAGATTTATGGATTACAGATGCCCAAATTACATATGGGATTCTTTAGACTTACTTAAGCAAGGTGTTTATGTCCAGCACTTTTTATAAAATGAGCATAAACACAAATATAAACTCTGAAATTGTAAGCCAGTGGGGATACAATAGAGACAGGTGCCTGCAGTTTCCATGTACATGGTAATTCAATATGGTACAAACTAGACCACCGTCATCAACTGAAACTGAGTTCTTTCTTCACGTCTCCTCATTAGACAGTCTGAGGTATCTCAGCACACTGATGGGGATAAAATCAAATCAAGGATATCAAATGAAGCTGCTGCTTCTCTTTTTGTGCCAATGTAAGTATACAGCGCAGGCATACTAATGTTTTTGTAATGAGTGCATCTTCACACAGAAACTCCTTTCGGTGAAATGAGGCTCATCAAAGAGTCAGGGTATCCACACACACCAAGTCTTCGTGGAAAAAGGAAATTGGAAAAATGAGAATTTAGCTAAATATATAGAGGGAAAAATAATTTAGGGCTACATGCAAGCCATTTGATTGAGCTATTTGTGATGGGCATCGTTTCAGAACGAATGTCACAGTGACTTGAAAAGGGAATGACCTTTCAAGAGTCAAGCCACACTTCATTACACAAAGAAAGTCCTAGAGCTGCAGCTTAACAGGAGGGATTCTTGGCACTTTGCATAGCTTCTCTTTTCACAGAGCACAAAACAATGAAAGGACACACTTACCATGCTTTTTTTTTATTGATGATTGAAGATAATGGCTGTCAACTGAAAGGAAACGAAACAATTTTAAAAAATATTGAAACAAAGGCTTAGATTCACTGGATTTATTCAAAAACAGTATAAATCGAGTGGAATTACTCAACAGTAACAAGTTTCTGTTCTTACCAACTGATGTCTGTCTTCTCCTCCACACAGATGATCTGGAGTCAGGTACGCTCTTTATTTTCTTCCCCCTAAAACTCCTCCTCACTAAGGAAAGCTGACAAGATGCACATCCTCATCTGCAGGTAGTGTTGCCTTTCACTGACAATCAAACGTGAGATGGTTAGCTCATGCTTCAAGTCACCTTTGTGTGACTTTTATTAAGCGGTTAAAAATTTCTACAAATTTTCACAGACAGCAGTTGTTATTTTTTAGAATGTGTGATGCTGCCCAGCAGCTTTGATCACGTATTTAATTAATTTGAACTCTTTAAAAAATTGCAAACATGTTAAAGTTCCACCAGTCTATCTGAAACTGTTAGTAATACATTTTTTAAATCATTTATTCTTTCCTCTTTTCTTATGTTTTTTTTTCCAAGTTTTATTACTAGTCTTGAATATTTTTGTTTCCAAGCTTTTCTGCGGGTAAACTTTGTTTGCACTCTAGAAATACATTTTCTTTGTTTTAGTGGCCCTATGATGGGGTTGATTATTTGCTTTAAATTATCTTAAATTTAACCCTGACTAAAGTCTGTAGTACTCTGTAGTTCTTTATACAAATGCTCCTTTGAGTTTGACAGTTAAAATAGTTGTATTCTGTTTTTATGACCAACAATTGGCTGAGGTGGAGCAAATTTGATATGTTTTGGACAATACTGAGTAGTTTACAAAAATGCATTCATCATCATATAGCTTATATACATTCTGTATAAAATCCTAATTAGCAATTAGGTGAAGTATAATATAAGTGAAATGCAAAAACTGAGTTTTCTGAAAGAAGGCCAGAAGCTTTAAGATGTGTATTGATTCTTTTGTTTGTTATTCTCACTTCTTCTCTTGTTTGAAACTAAGAACTGCAAAACCATTCAGGGCCCTGTTTAATTCCATTTATGGTCAACTTCCTGGGGAGAATGTGCTAAGTATAGTATGCAGGAGGGGAATGTTTGCAGGATGTGTTGATTGTAGGAAATAGTTAAGATTCATTTAATTTATTACTCTATTGTTATTTCCTGGAATCAGAGGCAATACTGTCATTACAGACAGGAGCTGCAGCATTATTTTGTGTCAAAAAAAGCAGGTGCTGCAGACTTTTTTCTAATTTCTTGTTTTTTCTCTTTTTTTGATAATTTTTTATTAGTTTCAGTCAAACTAAATATAAAACACTGATCCACTTGACCTGATGAACAGTTTAAAGGCTCTTTGTTTCTGCCCCACCACTTAGCCATGTCTCACATATTGTACTTGGCAGTACTTGGTTGCCTTCCACCCAGAAACCAGAATGGCATATGAGAAAATGTCTTTGGGTGATTAATAGCATGTGCCCATAATTACTCCAGTGTCTTGAATGAATGCCTGAGAGAGCTAGTGTTCTATTAAATAATAAATCAGTATTTTAACATGCAGGCTTAATTCAGTGTTCTTTCTGCCTCTGTCTACATTTAGCTTTTTGT